CCTCCTTCCCTCCATTTTTTTTTTCCTTTAACTCCTAAGTCCCTTTGTCTCACATGTTCCTGGGACATCCTCAGTAATTTATTTGTTTGTTTAATTGATTGGACATTTGCTGAGGGAAAGCCATGTGAAGCAAGCAAAAATGTGCCTCATTTATGCCCTGTCATCAAGTAGCTGCCTTTAAAATACAAGTGTATATATTGTAGATTTCCCCAGCTCTTCTCTCTATGTCCCCCAAAATAGTTTTAGGACTATTTTAAATGAGATTTCCCACATGTCTGTTTTAAGAATCTTGTCTTTCCTCCTAAATCTAACCTTTATCTGAATAAAGAAGTTTACAAAGGCCAAGGGATAGATAATAAAATCTCTGTTACAAACTGCTTTCCATGTATTGGGTATTTGATTACATTGTTTCAATCTCAACAACTCAAAGTAGGCAGTAGCCTCATTTACAGAGCAAGTCAAATGAAGCACAGAGAGGTTAATTAAATTGCTGGAGGTCGCACAGCTGATAAGTGTTGGATGGAGGATTCAAACCCAAATTCGCATCTCTCTCAAGCACATCTTTTCCTCATTAAAGAAGCAGCTTGGCACAGACATGGATGGCTACATGGAGACTGAGGTTAGTGGAGAGTTTCAGAGTCATGTTTTGGGCTCACTTGATCTGAAAGTATAGCTTCTACCAAGAGTCTATAGCTGTGCTGTTCAACACAGTAGTCAGTAGCCACTTGGCTATCAAGCAGTTGAAATTAAGCTGTGCTAAAAGTGACTTTGAAGATTTAATACAAAAAAGTAAAGCAGTCCATTAATATGTTTATATTGATTCCATGGTGAAATGGTAATATTTCAGATACACAAGCTAATTAAGAAATATTTTGGATATATATATAACTGAATCATGCTGTACACCTGAAACTAACACAACATTGTAAATCAACTATACTTTAAAAAAAATTTTTAAGAAATATTTTAAAATTCACCTGTTTCTTTTTACTTTTGTTAATGTGGTTGTGGTTACTAAAACATTTTAAATTATGTATATGATTTGCAGGTTGAGCTGTGCTGATCCAGACAGAAATTTATTAGCAGTATTTTTTCTGAGTACAAAGGAATGTAGAAAATTTGGAAGACACAACAAAGCACCAAGAAGAAAATTAAAATCTCACCATCCAAAGAAAAAATTAAGTAGACTTGAAAGACTGTATTACTGGGGGGAGGGTATATAGCTCAGTGGCACAGTGCACTGCTTGACATGCATGAGGTCCTAGGTTCAATCCCCAGCACCTCCATTTAAAAAATAAATAAACCTAATTACCCCCCCAAACAAACAAAAAGACTATATACTGCTTTGTGTCTTTCCTCCCTCCCATTGAGCCAGATATCTTATTTGTCCATGCAAACATGTTATTTCTAACACTTGATATTTTTATGCCTGCTTTGTGTCCTATCAATGGATATACTATTGTTTATTTAACTTACACCCCACTGACTTTTAAGTTTTGTTTCTAAACTTTTCCTGTTACAAAAAATACCATAGTGAACATCTTTATAGCTAAAGCAGCAAACGTTGTCAGAGCATGGGCTTTGGAAGCAAGTGCTCAAGTTTAAATTCTAGATCCTCTGCTTTGTAGCAGAGTGACCCTGGGTTGTTAGAATCATTCCTGGCACATAGTAAGTACTACAGAAGGGCTTTTGTTAGGGGGTATGTTACCTGCTATTAGGGACACATTTCTAAAAAGGAAATTACTGTGTCTTAAGAAGCTTTACATATTTGATACATGTAACCAAATTGCCTTCCAAACAGAGTATATTGATTTATAATCTCGTAAGAAACATATGCTAAGAAAAAAACAATTCTTGTAAATCTTCTGCTAGTCATAGATCAGGCATAGACCAGTAATTTGAAAGATTACTTTAGTAATTGTCAAAGGGTACAAAGTTTTGATCATACAAGATGAATATGTCCTAGAAGTCTACTGTACAGCATAGTGCCTATAGTTAACAATATTGCTTACATTACAATTTGCTAAGAGAGTAGATCTGAAGTGTTATAATAATAATGAAAGATTACTGTAGCATTAGTTTTTCATTGTGTTTAAAGTACAAGGGAGAATATATTTCTTATGCATTTTCCCCAAGAACT